AATTTGAGTATGCTCTCCTTTACGAAGCTTTGTAATCTGGAAAAACCCAGAGCTTTCTCTCTGCTACCTTTTTACCTCTCTCTACAAATCCCTTCTCCACATTCCTTCTGCCTCCTTTCTCACTTCCTCCAAGCTTTTAGATTTTTGTAGTAAAACTACTTTTAGGTGGGTAGAAACTTTTTTTTTCCCTTGAAAGAAACTTACAAAAAAATTAGAAAATCTGGAGCAACCTAAATCACCTTGCCTTTAAATTTTAATAACATTTACACTCTTAAAAAAATTTTTTTTTCTTCAACAAGGAGGTTTTTGTCTTCTGTTCTTAGAAGTTCTTTTTTTTTTTTTTTTTAAAGAATCCATTAAATTATAGACTGCCTAAAACAGGTGGGCCTGACACTTTGATAGACTGTCAAATATCATTAAGTCAGGAGAGAGCTGCTTTTGGCAGCTCTCTCCTGGCTGAGTGGGGTGTTCGTGGGTGGAGAGCTGTGTGCTGTACCCCTTAACTGGATAGGGGACCCCCCCTTTTGTTGCTAATTTGGTGAAGACTGAAAATGAGGCTCCAGGTGGGGGCAGGTAAGTCTTTTTTGAAATGGTTTGAGCAGTCGTTGTGTTCAGGCGCACGCATCTTGGCTGGAGTACTCCACCCACCCTTCACTTAGGAGACATTGTCTGTACACCCAGCTGGCCTTGGTCTGTTTCTGCTGTAACTGTGGTTAACGAACAGTGAGGTGCATGCTGCATCTGTACACAGAGGTAAAGTGACTGCTTTTCCCAGTCATTTACTGGCAGGACCGTGGCTAGAACTCAGGGCTCCATCTCTCCTGTACAGGCCTCTTGCCATTCTGGCATGTTCTCAGTGAAGGTACCTGACCTGTTTCGTAAGCAACATTGTGGATCATCTCAGTGACCTTCTCCGGGGGCTCCCTGGCTGGGAGTGGTTGGTTCTGGGGAGAAGAAAACCTAGCCCTCATGTCCTTGTCCTTTGTATAGATGAGAGATGACGGCACCTTTGGCCAGAAGTAGGTGGTCAGTATGTCTGAACATCCTCATTCTTTTCAAAGAGCTTCTCATACTTTCTTGTGGATCATAAAAAGCAAGAACAGCTGGATGAGGCTGTGACTGGTTGGTTGAACTCTTGTGCTCTCAAGGATGCTAAGTGATGTCTGTCTGGACAGAGATCTCTAGTGGCCAGCCAGTAAGACTCATCTCGGCCGTGACCTGTTTCATTATTTGTGTGTAGATATAGAAAGAGTGTTCATCCCTGGACTTGATAGGAAAACGGCAAATATAGTAGGTGTCATAATTGGAATTCCCCACAATGTCTTGGTGGGCTTGGCATGCTGGTAGCCTGAGCTCTCCCAACGTTTCATTAATGGAAGTTAAAATCAAGTTATGCTCTTGGGTTGAAGACCCCCCAACCCAGGGCACAAAGACAGGAGGCTGTGTGACTTAGCAGGATGGTGACGACCTGTGCGTTGGTATTGGTGTCAGCAGGTGGCCAGGGGCCTCTATCGGGATCCCTGACCTGGTGAACCTTAGCGTCTCATGTGACCAAGTGCCACTTAGAAGAGTGAACCCCAAGGCCTGCAGTTGGGCCAGGCAGGTCTCAGATGCACAGATGCAGAACTGGTGGATGTGACCTAGCAGCTTGTATGCAGCAGACTTTATGGTTTGGGTGGATTGTGAATTCATGGTGCTCGTTGCCAGAACCTCTAATTTGATCTTACATTTTTTTTAATGTATTGACTTACTGTTTCCATAAAAATGATACATGACCTTATTAAAAAAGAAGCAATGACCACAGAGGAAAGTACAAACAAGAAAGCAACACGTCGGTCCAAATGTTAGCTTCCAGAAATAGCCCGTTTTAATATTTGGTAGACAATTTTCCAGATATATTTCTGCACACTTTCAGACAGACTCAATAACTAGAAAAATGTATACATAGGCACTTTTATAACAAAGCGTTCACGCTCTACATATTTTCACAATAAAAACATATTTAATTTTACTTTCATGTAACAGAAGAATTGAAACTGAAGTGAAGTAAAACTGAAGAAATTGCTGAACTTCAGGAAACTGTTACTTCACCAAAAGAAATAAGTTTCTCAGACATTCCTCTAAAGCAGTGGTTCTTAACCAGGGAGGGTTTTGCCCCCAAGGGGACATCTGGCAATGTCTGGAGACATGTTTGGTTCTCACAACCAGCAGCATCTGTGAATGTTACTGGCACCCAGTGAATAGAGGTCAAGGATGCTGCTAAGTACCCTACAATGCACAGGACAGCCCCCCCCCAAAAAAAAGAATTATTTGACCCAAAATGTCAGTAGTGGCAAGGTTGAGAAACTGTGCTCTTAACAGTAAGACACAAATATCATTAAAACCATTAGGAAGGCGAACTCATTATGTTTTAGCCCAGTTGCAGTTTTAGACTATTTTGATTGGCTCCTATAATGAAAAACGATATGATTAACGTCATCATATCGTTTCTCCCTCCTCTCCTTAACAACCAAATCGAGAGGTGGCATATGTTGGTTTTACCATGTCAAGGTTCATAACATTTACAGTCTATCCTGAAACTGTAACCCACACACACCCCGCCCCCCACAGGGCTGTTTAGTCTTAGTTCTATATTTAAATGATTCAGTGCCAAACACCACTTCTGTAACCATGGTTTCCCCGTTTCTGGGTTTGTTTTGCATCACCCCTTGGCTGGTTGGCTGCTTGATCTTAGTATGAATGTAGTGTGTATGTGCAGGGAGGTATCACACCCCACCCTGGTTTGGCTTGGGCACAACTGTGCCTGCAGGGTTGAGTTTGTGTCGGAGCACCATGCTTAGAAGAAGAGTTAGGGGGACACAATGGAGTGGTCCCAGGATGCTATGGGGCTGCGAAGTGGGGTCCCAGGTAGAAATGGAATTGCACTTGGGGAGCAGAAAGGACAGCTGTGGATGAATGTGCTGGTTGTCCTCAGTCCTTTGAAAGACTTCCATGTGGAAGCAGGATTGGTCTTCACTCTGAAGTTCCCCAGGAGTTTAGAACTAGGGCTGCATGGATACATAGCACAGGTACATACCAGGTGTAGGCTGCCCTGGGTGGGTGATGAGTTCCCTGTTAGCTGGAATGTGCTGGGGAAGCACCTGTTGCCATGTTGTACGGAGATGCTGGGTTCGAGCCATCAGTTCGAAGTTAGGTAACTTCCCAACCTTGAGTTTCGGACAGTCTAATAGCCACCTGTTCTGGGCAGGAGCCCCAGTCACTCTAGTTCCCTTCTCCCTGCCCTTTGGGATAAGGGTGAGAACAGCCAGGGCTGTGGTTGGAGGGTTCAGGGGTAGAGCCTTAAATACTCTCTGCACATTTTGTATTTGGACCCACGGTCTACTGACTCAAAAAGTGATGCATCAATTAATGTATGTATTAGAGTCTGCCCAACTTGTTCCCCACGTGGTGTGTGTAGTGTTTACAAGGTTACAGGGACTGAGCACACGCTAAACCCATTCCCGGGCCAATACGTTTCTATATAATCTGGGTAACAGATCACAGATTGCAAAGGAAGAGAACATGTACAGATGTTCCCTGTCTAATTGGCACTGGGTGTTCTGTCATTGTCTAGATGAGATGTCTATCACAGCGTGACTTACTGATCGATGGCTTTGCTTTGTTGCAGGGGAGCTATCCAGTTTGGGAAGACTTCATAAACAAAGCAGGGAAGCTACAGTCCCAGCTTCGGTGAGTAGAAACCTATCGTCTCCAGGAAAACGGCGGTGTCCTTGGACAAAGGGTGGACTAGGATAGACCCAACATGCAGAGTTGCATTACAGATGTAGAAAAGCATGTAATGGGTTCTGATTTGAGCATTGCCACATAGTAATCATATGTTCTGACCTCTGGTTCCCGTATATAAAACTGGACTCATCTGCTCTGCCTCCTGCCACAGGGGCTTTTGAGAATTAAACGTGGTATTTCATGTAAAATAATCATGGGCAGCATGAACGTGGCACTTACTATGTGCCAGGCATATGTTAACTTAATTGAATCTTACAACCCCAAGAGGTAAGTACAGTTAGTATCCCCATTCTACTGATGAGGAAACTGAGGCACGGATAAGCTAAATTACTTACCCAAAGTCCCACAGCTAGTAAACGGCAGAGCAGGGATTTGAACTTATGCCGTCTGGCTCCAGAGCCCATTCTCCTTACTGCCTAATCTTACGAAGAGTTTAAAACTTAGCATTGACTATTGTATAGAAAAAAGCCAATCTGTAAACTCCGATGTAGACTGGTGGTCTCCTGGGGTCAGGGTTGGAAAAGGAGATTGACTGCACGTGGGCAGGAGGGATCTTTTTGGGGTGATGGAAATGTTCTAAAATTGGATTACATAGCTCTAAATTTACTAAAAAATCATTGACTCATATATCTATAAAGGGTGAGTTTTATGGTATACAAATTATGCCTCAGTAAAGCTGCTTAAAAAGCAGTGAGATTTAGTGCTGATCTGCTCTAACAGGTTATTATTATTGCCTTGTCTTGTGCTTGTTCATATATCATTTGATAAGAAATAGAAAATATATCAACATTTTGTTGAAGACACATGCTTGTGAGTCAGTGGGGAGAAGGGGTACTATTGCACTTTGTGGGTGTTCCCCGAGGGGTGAGATGTTTGAAAAAGCAATCATTTGCATGACCCCTGTTGACGGCATATGGAGGAGGATGTAGGTTGGTTTGGATGTGTGAGGAAGGTTTTCCAGAGAACAAAGCAGGTAAGTATTTTTTAGGATCCAAAAGCCATGTGGATGACAGATAGGACAGTGATGATGTGATGCTCTTGGGCCCTTGCCCATGGATGCCAGGGGTCATGGCCCAGAGCTTTGGCCATGGGACTGGCTGTTGTGTGGCTCTCCTGGAGATCAGGAGAAAAGAGCTTGGGAGGGGTGGGTCTTTTCGTCTTTTCCCTTTCATTCCTTCAGCTTCGTGGGGCCTGGGACTTCCATCCATGAACCTGGGATTTCCAGAGCCGCGAGTGGGCTGCAGATGGACGGTCGGCTCTGGAATATGGCTCCTTCTGCACTTGTCAAGCTCTTTACCATTCCTTTGCTTAAGAACTTGTGATTAAATCAGATCGAGCCTCCTCTGCTCAGCTTGCAAGGCCCTTCATCTGAGGCCTTCACCTTATTTATTAGTTACACCTACACTCCC